TAAACCTCTCGAGGAGAAAATCTAGTCATTAAGCTCTATTTGAGGAATTTTTATTGCCTCAGGTTACCTGACGTAGAGATACATCAGGTAGCCTGTAATATATCGCCACGTTCTCTTACTCTTTACCGCGCGGCCAGACGACCCAACCCGAAACGAATATGCGCGGTATTTGCTCAGTATTGCTAGGTACTACTCGATATTTTCTCGGTATATTTGCTCGGTATTGCTCGGTATTTGCTCGGTATTTTCTCGTGATCGGAAGAAAAAACGGGATCCCGCTCGCTTAGGAGATAACCTTCTCCATTTCGCGTGCTTCTTCGGTTCCACTCGTGGCCGTTCGACTTTTCTCCATCGACGGCTTCCCGGGCAAGGGCGGCGATGACATCATTGATGTCAGCGCGAACACGGAGGTTATAGTTGTTGTGTCGCCGCAGACCAGCCAGAATCCTCGCCGTGATTGCTCGCCGATGCCGCTCCCACAGCTTCGTCCGCTCCTTTTCCTCTTTAGGCCGGCTCCTTCTACCCCCCATCCCATGTATATGGATCTGCTCACTGGAAGCGGCCTCCTCTTCGAAGAACCCACCTCCCATCTCCTCCGCCGCAACTAACGTTCGGCTCCTCTCGTCATCGTCGTCCTCCTCCTTTACCTCCAAATCCATCTCCATGTCATCTTCCTCGCTCGTCCCCCCAAGCCTTTCCATTTCAACGACATTTCGCATGGAGAAATGTCTAGCAATATCGAGCAAATACCGAGTAGTACCTAGCAATACCGAGCAAATACCGCGCATATATATTTCGGGTTGGGTCGTCGGGCCGCACGATAAAGAGTAAGAACACGTGGCGATATATTACAGGCTACCTGTTGTATCTCTACGTCAAGTAACCTGAGGCAATAAAAATTCCTGTTTGAGACCCATCCTAACGAGGTAACTTTCAAACCCTAGAGTTTTTCTTAAGAACTTAAAGTGGACCTTAGAGATTGCATGAAAATGAATAAAAATATTTCCCCACTCTCTCTGTAATTATAGTGTATCACTAACTAAAACTTCATTCCATTTAATGCATTGTAAAGTGGG